GTTTGATGGTCTGCTTTTATGTTTCCCAGAGGCCTTGCTCTGTATGCCACACCCGCTCCCCAGGGTGCTGTGTGCATCATATTGAAACAATGACATGGCATTTAAAGGGAGCAAGTTCCACATAAGCTGGACAAGTAAGTGTATCCCTCTGAGTCCTGGGCACTTGCCTGAACTACACAGTGGAGGCAGACCTAATCTTTGTGAAACTTGTTCCTTTGGATGGGAGGCTCTGTTTTTAAGTTCTTACTTAGTTCAAGAGACACTAACATTCTCAAACCCTAAAACTTCGTCACTCTCTTACCCAGAGTCTATTGACTATTTGTAGGCATTAGCCCCGTCTTAGAAAAGACCTCCCCTGGGAGAGCTCTTACCTTTCCAGTTACTGGTCTGTGTAACTTGCTTCTGCAGGAGAGACCTAGACGGCCTGTCACTGTTCTGTAGTTGAATGAATCTCTGTACTTTTTGATTGGCCGCTTTGCATTCTGACACCTACTGAAAAGAAGGGACGGCAGTTGAAGAGGCAGTTTAAAATGCTTGTGAAGATGCTTTTTCTGACGCCAAACAAGTCCGTTCCTTCAGCCAAGACCTTTAGTCAGACACCTGCCTAATAATGAGCTAACTCTTAAGGGGCGTGGCAAGTACCTGAGTTTGGGTCATGAAGATTTTATTTTAAATCCTCTATATTCTAAGCCCTGTGCTAGGCACTGGAGTTTGTAAAAATAATGTAAAAGAAAACTTTTCTCTTTTCCAAGGGTTTCTGAGGGCGAGGTTGTATTCTTAGAAAAGCCTAGGTTTTCTGTGTTATCTTTAAAAACATCCTAAAGAGCTATTCTGGGGTGTGAGGTGGACGGCAGGGTGTGCCTCTCTGACAAGTGCAGGGGAGGTCAGCATCAGAGGGGACCAGTATCAGGACTCAGGCCTGTGTCCCAGGCTTCATGTATTCCACTTAGATGTGGACATACAGTGGTGGACTTTGTGTTTTAGACAAAATCGGGATTGTTTTCTATGTTGTGCTTTAGTGCATGTTTAAGCCTTTCTGGGGGCCTTCTGTCTGTGTGTCCCCAAGTGTAGCAGATGGTAAGGAAGGGCCCTGAGGGCCCTGAACTTATGCCAGGAGCGTGCTCCCCCTTGGAGCCTGGCCGTCCCCGGCTGGTCTGTGTTTCTGCCCAGCAGCTGGAATGAGGCTCTGTCTGACTTCTCAGGGCTTCCGTGTGGACCTGCCCATCAAGTCAGCCCGGTACCGAGGCCAGTACAACACCTACCCCATCAAGCTTTTCTACACGTCCAACATCCCCATCATCCTGCAGTCTGCCCTGGTATCCAACCTGTATGTCATCTCCCAGATGTTGTCGGCCCGCTTCAGTGGCAACCTGCTGGTCAGCCTGCTGGGCACCTGGTCTGTAAGTACGGCCGCTTTCGGGGGTCAGTCTGAGCACTGTGGCAGGTCGCAATGCATGCGCCATGTGTCTGCTCGTGACCAAGTATTTTACCCAAAGGTATTTTCTAGTTGTGCCTTTTAGAGGTTGAGCATGTGTCCCTTTCGGGCACTGGGGGCACTTGAACAAGCTTATGCTTTTCTCTGGTGGGTACCTTTGTGCTGCCCGGAAGGTGCACAGAAGCAGCACTCACAGGCTCTCTGATGCTTTTCAGGATACTTCCTCCGGGGGCCCGGCACGTGCTTATCCAGTTGGTGGCCTTTGCTATTACCTGTCCCCCCCAGAGTCTTTTGGCTCTGTGTTGGAAGACCCCGTCCATGCCGTTGTGTACATAGTGTTCATGTTGGGCTCGTGCGCTTTCTTCTCTAAGACTTGGATTGAGGTCTCAGGCTCCTCTGCAAAAGATGTAAGTATGGGCCACAGTTTCTAGAGGGGTAATTAAGCAGGGACGCCACAGTTCCCATCTGTTACTGGTGTAAGGGGCCTCAGCTTGTCACCTCTTAAGGAAGAGGTCTGTGAGCGGACAGACACTAGGGCAGTTGCAAAGCAGTAATGGCTGAAGACAGAGCCCAGCAGTATATCAGCATCCGGTCTGGGAAGCTGGAGCCAAGCTGGGAGGTGAGACTTGGTCACAGGACTCCGGGAGCATATAAGTGTCACTAGGCGTGGAGGAGGAAAAGCTGTTGCCTACCACCATGAAATGGCCGTTTTCCCTTCAGCTTTAAAATTTAACACCATCCCCTTTGGTGGGCATCCTGCAGGTTGCAAAGCAGCTGAAAGAGCAGCAGATGGTGATGAGAGGCCACCGAGAGACATCCATGGTCCATGAGCTCAACCGGTGAGTGCCACCCTCAGTCCTGGGGGACTTTGGTTCATGAAATCATATCTCTGGGTTACCGGCTAGAAAAGGTCCTGTGTCCTTAGACGTTGATGAGCTTGCTAAGTGCTGGAGACCGGAGATAAAAAAGAAATGTGTACAGTCCCCCTCCTCAGAGAGTTAGCCACTCAGCAAGGAGAGGTCACAAGATGGCGTGGCCAGGGCGCTGGTACCTCCCCGGTGCTGGTGCGGGCCGGGCTCTGGGGGCGTCCTCCAGGAACAGGGCCAGGCGCCTTCTAGAGGGCTGGTGTCCCAGTGCAGATGAGGCTGAGGCTCCTGGGAAGGGACAGAGCCGGGGGTCCCTTTAGGAAGGTCAGTGCTGGACGCAGAGTCCCCAGAGAGGGGAGAGGGATCAAGCACCACCAGCTGCTGTGCAGGCACAGGTGGAGGGCCCATGTGCGGCGGCGCTGAGGAGAGGCTGGCTGCAGCACCTCAGGGCCATGGGGTTGTGGCAGGAGGGAGCACCTGTGGTGGCCCAGTGCCACTTCGCAGTCTGCACCTCCTGCCCACTTCCAGGGCAGCTGCCTCTGGGTAGCAGGGTTGGCCTTAGTATTTTAAGCTCTTCAGGTCATGTCGTCTCTGTCACAATGACCCGTTTCTCCTGCTGTCACTTGAAAGCAGCCATAGATGATGTATGTAAATGAACGGGTGTTGCTGTGTCCCTGTCAAACTTCAGTGGCAGGTGGCAGGCCTGGTCTGTCTGGTGGGCCGTATGTAGCCCACAGCCGTCACCTTGAGGAGCCACAAGAAAAGAGTGTGTCAAGTTTCAGCTCATTTTCTGATCCCTGGCAGGGGCAGTGGGCAACTTTATTCTCTACATAAGAATTCTCCAAAGTCTTTAGATTTGCAGCACTGTTTAGTAGAAATATAACCCAAGCCACAAATGAAACTTCTAAAGTTCTAGGAGCCACATTTAAGAAATAAGATAAATCCTAAAATACAGTAATGGTCTATGTCAGTTATGTGTAAAGAAAGAAAGTAAAAAGGAACGGGGAAAGTTGGTAACTTACTTAACCCAATATATCCAGAATGTCATGTCAATTTGTAATTAACATGAGAGGAGTCACAATGTGATATTTTTTACTTCTTCAAAATTCCACGTGATCATGTAGACTTACAGGACGGCACAGCCCTGGTCCAGACGAGGGTGCGTGAGGGGGGCCATTCCCAGGAGGTCGTGGAGAGACCTGTAAGGGAGTGCGGCTTGAGCGTGGAGGGGGAGCACGTGGAGCAGCCGGGCTGGGCCAGAGGGCCTGCACAGGGCACGCAGCTAACCCGTCTTCCACTCCCAGGTATATCCCCACCGCCGCGGCCTTCGGGGGGCTGTGCATCGGGGCCCTCTCTGTGCTGGCTGACTTCCTGGGCGCCATCGGGTCTGGAACCGGGATCCTGCTTGCTGTCACGATCATCTACCAGTACTTTGAAATCTTCGTCAAGGAGCAGAGCGAGGTCGGCAGCATGGGGGCACTTCTGTTCTGAGCCGGGTCTCCCTGGAGCGGAGCGGAGGCAGCTCCAGCGTTGCGGGGGCTGGAGGAGCGGCCCCTCGCTGTGGGATTGCTCGTCCCAGGGAGCGCGCTGTGGCGTACAGGCTGCCTCTTAGTATTGGTTTTGAGTTCCATGTTCTTTCATTCCACTTTGTAAAGTGCTAGACATTTTCCAATTTGAAATTTTTCTTTCCTTCTGGCATTGGCAAGAGGATTGCAAAAGTGAGATTTGATTCAGTGCCTGCCAGAGGTGGGGATGGTAAATGTCCCCCAGCATCCATGTAACTTTTGTTTTAACCTTTGCACCTTCTCAGTGCCCTAAGTGGCCGCTCTGGCCTCTGCTGTTTCCCCAGGCAGGGGATGTCCTGTTAGAAGCACAAACACTGTTGAGAAACGTCTACATTTGGTCCCAGTGGTAGGGCTTGAGGCTGGGAGCACCCGTGCATTTCCTGGTGGATGCAGGTGACTCACTCACGGGGCCCCCTCCCAGTCTGGAGTAGGAATATCCGGCTTAAAACTGCTTCTCTGGAAGACACAGTTGTTTTCCCTTTTATAAGTAGTTTTAGGACAGCTTTTTCCAAAAGAGAGGGAGACATTTCAGAAGGCACTCAGGCCATCTGTTAATTTTTCTGCCTGTGCCTCTTGGCTGTTCTCATTGACTGTTGAAGTGATGTCTGCCTGTCCATGTCTCCTGGGCGTCACTGACACACCTCCCACAGTTCACTCACTCCTCCCTCTTGCCCCTAGAGAGGGAGGCCCTGGGGCAGGCACTCAGACTTGAAGGACAGCACAGTGGCGTCACAGGCCACTGGTACCTTCAGGTGAAAATGTCCCACTTATATTTTTAGAACTTTTTTATCATGCTTAGGACCAAATGCAGGTAAAGTAAATAACGAGATGACACCTATCTCCTCTCAGCTTCCACGAGATGACACCTATCTCCTCTCAGCTTCCACTAGAACTGCCCAGCAGAGAGGAGGGTGCAGGCCTGAGATCTGTGGTAAAATGAGGGTTAGAGAATTAGTTTGTTGGGTAGGTTGCTCCATAATTTGATATAAAAAGACTCACAGTTATGTCTGAAATAAGTTTTGTCCGCAATAACGGGTGATTTAGATCTTAGGAATGAAAACTTTCCTGTGACCCTCAGGCCCCTCGGGACAGGCAGTGCATGGTGGCCGGAAGCAGAGTGGGCACCATGAATCGGGGGTTCCTGCTGGAGGGTGCCCCAGTTCTGAGGGAGTTTGGGGGTAACAGCATCCCCCTGCACAGACACCTGCCCCAGCAGGCACGGCCTCCAAAGCAGAGCCAGGTCACCATTCAGCACCTGAGTCAGGAGATCCCCTAGGGGGCCGCACTGGCAGCACTGAGAGGGAAACAGACCAGCCCAAGGACCAGAAGCAGCTTGCTCAGAGCCACCCAGTGGGCAGTGGCAGAATCAGGATGGGCCTGGCAAGCTGCCAGCTCCCAGTCCAGGGCACACCGCCATATCACACATGTGGCCTTGTCAGACCCAGTCCTGAGCAGAGACCTGGTGCCTCCTCAACACATGGTCTGTTCAGCCCCAAACCACTCTGGGCCCTGCGTGGCTCAGGTCCTGGTCAGTAGTCATGGTGGGGGCTGACCCTGGCTTCCAGGGGACTGTCACTGTGGATGCCAAAATGGCATAATTGAGATAAGGTAAATACGTGACTAATAAAGCCAACTTTTTACAAGACATCTGGTCATGTGCTCTTGGTGCTCGGTTCCCAGTTCCTACTGAGCAGGCCAGCATGGGGAGAAGCTGGGTGCCTGTGGCTGGTGGGGCCCGGTTTCAGGGGTGCCAAGGCCTGCCTTAGAGGGACATTCTTCCTCAGGCATTTGCCTGGGAAACTGCCTTCTGGTGGTGCCACCAAACAGCACACTCAGATGTTCTGTAGACTGAAATGCAGGGTGTGCAAGCCCTGGAGCTGGGCCAGCATGCAGGCAGCTCCGAGGTCCTTGGGACATGGGAGTAGACTGACGTGTCCGGTGAATGTGCCCGCCTCGTGGTCCCCTTCACAGCCAGGTCCAGGGGCACCATTGCCCTTGGCTGCCACAGGAGCCAGGGCTCATCCCACACTGACCAGCCGAGCCTGAAGCTCAGCCAGGAGGGTCTTTGCGGCCCCGCACCCCAGCTCTGTGTGGGCAGCAGAGGCAGGCAGGTGGCTGTCCCCCAGAAGGTGCCACACAAAGAAATCTTCCCAAGGGTTTCCATGCCATGCTGAATGGCGGACTATGTTCCCAGGGTGAAGTGAGGGGAAAACTTCCTCCTCTACCTGGATTTCAAAGCTGACAAGCTCATCCTAGACAAGGTCTCACCCAGGCCCACTGCCACCACCCTGGGCCCAGGGCTTCCTTAGTGATCCGCAAGTGAAAGGCGGCAGGGTTTTCTTCACTGGGCTCCAGCCTCAGTGCTTCCATGTACATCCTGAGACCCTGTCTTGGAAAATTGCCTGCTGAGGTGGTGGTGGGCCAGGGCAGGATGACCCCCTGGGGCCCCCTGAGGAACAGGTACTGGAGCCTGGTCCTGTGGAGGACCACAGCAGCCATGCGCCACACTGCACTCTGAGACAGGTGGCCAGGCCCGCCCTGCACTCTGCCAGCCCAGAGGAGGTCCGTGACTGCAGGCAGGAGCCAGGGAAGCAGGTGCTGTGAAATGCTGAGGCAGGCAGGGTGCCTTTTGACCTCCAGATTCTCGAGTCAGGGGAGCTCCCACTGCAGGGAAGCTCTGCCCCTCCTGCTGTCTGGAAAGTTTGGGCCTGCAGCCAGGCCAGCCACACCCCAGAGCCCTGTGTGCGCAGGCTGCCAGACTCTGGCCCGTGATGCTGGGCTGGACCCCGGGCCTCTCTGCCCAGCACTCCCAGCTGTGTCCTGGGGACCAGAGCCAGGAGTTTCTCCTGCTCCCAGCTGGTGGTGACACAGGCCCCTCTCTCCCCCGGGGCAGACACTCTGCAGGCCACTTCCCACACAGGATCCCAGTCCCCATGCCACCCCATGAGGACCAGGTAAAGAGTGTGGCCCAGGTCAAGACCACTGAGCAGCAGGGTTGGGACACAAAGCCAAGGGCACTGTTCCTGCTTGGCTGCCGGCACTACCTCCCACAGGGGCCTAGTTGGGGTAAGGAGTGAGGGGCTCAGGGAAGCCCACTGCACTCCCAGAAGCTTGGCTCGGGGGCAGACTCAGCCTGAGCTGGCACACCTGCTCCAGTCCCTCCACCTGGAGACCCCACTCCCCCCAACACACAGGCCAAAAGCCAGGGGATGAGCCTGTGACGTGCGAGGATCAGCAAAGCCCCAGCCTGAACTTCAGCACCCCCCAGCTCCGCCAGTGCCTGTTTCTGGAGAATCCCAGAAGTGTCCCTTAGTGGCACTGCCCACCTCTCGCCCTTGCCCCAAACTCTCTGCGACTCCCCAGAGCCTGTGGCCAGCACGACTCCATGTCACCCACTCCTTTCCACTCAACACATTACTGAGCCCCTAGGGGTAAATGGGGCAGAAGCTTCTACCCTCTGAAAACTCCTGCCTCGGCAATAGGGGTCCGCAGGGTCTGCTAAGCCTTTAGGGCTCTCTCAATTTCCCTCTGCTTGACAAACTCCTGCTAATCCTTTAAAGCCCAGATCAAGTCTAGAAACATCTAAAGGCCAATGAGAAGGGGGCTGGATAAATTTCAGCACCTCCCTCCCAAGGAAAGGAACTACAAGGACATTATATGCTAAGAAGAATTTCTTCAAGATGTGCTGTTCCAAGGGGGAAAATGCCAAGAAGCGGCATGTTGTATGCTAATATTTGTGTTTTAAATGAGTGTAGAGGGGTTAAGAAATAGACTGCATATCCGGAATTTCTCATGAAACTGAACATACACCTACCCTACACCCAGCTACACCACTCCTGGGTATTTATTTACCCAAGGGAGATGAAATGACACACCTACTCAAAGACTTTCACAAGAATGTTCATTGCTGCCTAGTCATAAAAGCTGAAAAGTGGGAATGGTCCAAGTGGGAATGGATGAGTAAATGAGGGGTAGTTTACCCATACAATCTCCTGCAGTCAAAAAGAAACTACAGGTACGACAGGCATGCATGAATCTCAAAAGCATGGATCTAATTACTGGGAGTGGACTAAGAGAAACCAGTCCCAAAAGAGTATGTACACAATATAGGATCCCATTTTTACGAATTTCCAGAGCAGATGGAGCTTATCTGTGGTGAGAAAAACCAGAACAGTGTTGGCCTTTAGTGTGCCAGAGATTTGGGGAGAAGCACAAGAGAACTTTCCAGGGTGACAGAAACATCCTTGATAGGGTTTGGTTTTCATTAGAATTAATGGAATGGTCCACTTAGGATTAGTGCATTTCACTATGTATAAATTTAACCTTTAAAAAAAAAGCTCAAATATTGAACTCTAGGTAATGATATATATATGCTTAAGTATTTAGGGACAAAGTGTACTGATGTCTGCACCCTACTTTGAAATGAATGAAACACTGGGTAAGAATGGGTTGAAGGATGGCGGATACATCTAGGGGATGGTGTATATGGGTGGTCACTGTACAATGCCTGCACCTTTCTTCTGTTTGAAATTTCTCATAAATGGTGGGAAGCATACTGTGCATGTGTGTTGGTTGTATATGCACAGGACATCTCTTCAGGGGTACACCCGTGTAAGGCAGGTTGCTTCAGAAGAGGGGAACATGCTGGCTGACGGCAGGGGGAGAAGAGAATTTTCACTGTGGGAACCATGGTCTAAATTACCCATTAAAATACATGTGTGTGTGTGTGTGTGTGTGTGTGTGTGTGTGTGTGTGTGTGTGTACATATATATATATATATAATTTTTTTTTTTTTTAACTGAAAGCCCTGATCAGTAAGCTTTCCCGGACTGCCCTTTACCCGCACGCACCTTTGGACACACACTTGCTCCCTGCCCGCCCTGGTCTCAGCCTCCACGTTTGGGAAGCAACCGTTCCTAGTCCCACCCAGTAAGTCTTAGGCCGGCCTTGGCCGCGCCCCTCCTGGCAGGACGCTGGGGCGGAGCTTGCTGGGGCGGGGCGGGGCAGGCGCTGTGTGCGTCTGCCCGCGCGAGGGCGCTGTGGCTTCGCAACGTCGGGGGCCGTGCTGCCGTGGGGAGGCTGCGCAGACCTTAGCGAAGTGGAAAAGTGGAGGCCAGGTCTGCCCCAGCTGCCGCTGGCCTCAGAGACCACGTCCCCCACCGGATAGGTCCAGCGGGGCCCCTCACCCCTCCCCGCGCCTCCCCCGCGCTGCCCTCGGCCACTCGGTCTCCGCGCCAGCCCTTCCCGCCTGCCTGGCCCTCACCCACCCCCCACCCTTCGCTCCAGCCGTCGCCACCTGGGGCGGCGGTCCTCACCCTGCGCCCCTGTCACCTCTTCTGGAAAGCTCTCAGGGCCCCTCTCTTAAGACCTAGCTCACGGCTCCTTCCAGTTTGTGAGTGGTGGGGCTGGTGGCTGTCTCCCAGGTTGACCCTCCCCGGGGGCCTGGCGAGGGGAGGCCTGGGGGCGGGTCACTTCGATGGAGGTTCGTAGACAGGCCGCTGGCAGATCCTACCGGCTCTTCTCGCGTCACCCGACCAGAGGCGGATGGGGTGAACGAGAGTGACCACGCGCCAAGAGTGGCAGGGTGTCCCCATCAGGCACAGATACAGAAGAGCAGCGGCCAGGAGCCTGCGGGCCTTGACATTTGTCAAGTGGGCCATGGGGACCTATGAAAGGGTTTTGAATAGGAGCCTGGCAAGGTCAGACTGGGGCTTTCAAAGATTGCTAAGTCAGTAGGGAAGGGACTGCACAAGCCGAGGTGGCTGGTAGCCCTGGTGGCAGAGGCCTGGGCCAGGCAGGTCACATTAGTTGTCTCCCGGACCACGGGGCCCGCCCTGTTGCAGTCAGCCTGAGTCACGCAGGCCCCCTACCGTGGCAGTAGGCCACGCTGTACAAGTTCATGCCCCAGCCCTCGTTCCTGTGTCCCCCACACCTGTCCTAGGTGCTTCGACCCCTGTGAACAGGTGCTGTGGGCATGTGCCCCAAACCTGCACCGCGCCACCCCTCGGTGTCCCCTGTGTCCCGCGCTAGTGTGGGGTGTGAGGGCGCAGTGTGCTTGCGGGAGCACCCGCCAGGCTCGCGGCAGGTGGTACAGTGGGCTTAAGGGGCCCAGCCAGCACCCCTGCCGGCCAGCTGCACCCACGCGTCCCTCCAGTGCGGGGTCCGCGCGCCCGCGCCCCGGGGCCCTCCCCTCGGCTCCCCGCGTCCCCATTAATCACGCAGCACTGACGGCGCCGATCTGCGCGCGGGCAGCGTGACGGTGACGGCGACGGCGGGTGACGGAGCGGGCAATCGGCGGGCGCACATCGGCCCATCTTATCGCGCCAGCCCAGCCGCCGCCCGCCGCGCACTGCCCATTGATCGCGCCGGGCTGGGGCCGGAGGTCAGCGCGGGCTGGGCCGGCCTGACAGCTGCATCCATCGCTGCCGAGACGCGCGCTGATGGCGGCACGGGCCGTGCGGCCCGGCCATTAATCACCGCGCCTGCCGCCGAGTGACGGGGAGGGGCGACAAGGCCAGCAGGGCCGACAGCCAGCCCCCGCGGCCGGTCTACCCCTTCCCCACTACCGGCCCTGCTGCGCGGCTTTCCGTGCGCCCTGAGCTGCGCAGTCACCCTTCTCGGGCCTTATCCCCGGAATAAGTGGGA